CCTCCCACGCCATAGTGATCATTTGAATCCAGCTCCTTCACTGTGCGCCCACTCGAATGTATTTTCAGTCGACTCAAAATACACGTGGGCTGGGTTACCCACCCAGCCTGGGTAGATGTGATGTGAGTCATCGCTCGTACCTCCCATGCCGTAGTGATCGCCCGATTCAGGCTCCTCCACCATGATCCCACTTGGAAGCAATCAACGCTAACTACTCAACATACACCTGCGTTGGGCTGATGCAATGTGAGTCGGTCGGTCGTACCTCCCACGCCGTAGTGGTCGTCTGAATCCAGCTCCTCCACTGTGAGCCCACTCAGGTTGGGCAGCGTCCAGATGCGCAGCGGCACTCGCACCTCCTGAGAGGGGGGTGTTGGAGAGGGGAAGGGAATGGACGAAGGGGTTGAAGGGATGGAAGTAGGAAGGAGAATTGGTGAAGGAGAAGAGCTGCAGAACACAGTGAGCCCACTCAGGTTGGGCAGCGTCCAGATGCGCAATGGCACTCGCACGTGGGAGAAGAGAGGGGGGAAAGAGAGGGGGAAAGAGAAGAAGGGAAGGGAGGGGAAAGAGAGGGGGAAAGAGAGGGAGGTAGGGGAGCATGGAAGGGAGTGTGGGGATGGACGAGGCAGCACGGTGAGGCGCCACTCAGGTCCAGATGCGATGTGCAATGGCACTCTTCCACACCTCCTATGATAGGAGAAGGTGGGGCTACCCAGCACCACCGAATGATGTGTGAGTTCATGCTCATGTTGATGTGAGTTCATACTCATGATGATGTGAGTTCATACTCACAATGATGTGAGTTCATACTCATGATGATGTGAGTTCATACTCATGATGATGTGGGTTCATACTCATGATGATGTGGGTTCATACTCGAATGAGCTGTGTACAGCAAAGCGAGGGACGGAGATGGGGGACCTGAATGGACAGGGCAGGCTGGGGAGCGTGCAGATGCGACGCAGCAGCATGCGCCAGGTAGTGGGAGGGGGGGGAGGGGGGGGAACGGGGGGGAATGCGCCAGGCTGCATTCAGATGCGCAGCAGCACTCCCCAGAACAGCTGTAGCAGCCGGCGCACTCACCACAACAGACGTGGCACCACCTTGTCCGCCCTTTCCCCCTTTCCCCTTCGCCTGAACACCCGCCGCTGCTCCACCTCTCCCCTCCTCCCCTCCCCCTCTCCCCTTCAGCGGAGTGGTATTCGCGCTCCCCCCTTGCCCCTTGCTCCCCTCGCCCTTCCCCGGCCCCCCTCCCCCCACTTCCCCCCTAGCTGCCCCCCAGAGTGGGACCTCCGCGGAACACCAGGGGAGGGGGAGGCGGAGGCGGAGTGGGAAGAAAGGAGGGCAGAGGAGGAGGAGGAGTGGGCGGAGGTGAGGGGGGAGGGGGAGGGGGAGGCGGAGGGGGAGGGGGGGGGAGGGGAGGGGCGCCACTTGACGATGACTGTGAGCTGGTAGTGAAAGCGCACAGCTGTTCCGCGGTAGGAGGGGGGCAGCACTCGCGGCAGCTGTGCTCTTATGGCGTCTGGGGGAGAGGCGGGGGTGTGGGGGAGGGGAAAGGGGGAAAGGCGGAGGAAGTCGGGACAGGCAAGGATCAGACAGTGGGGGTTACATTTGAGGGAGGATGTTTGAGTTGAGGGGCGCAGAGCTGGAGTGGATGAGCGAGACGAGGGTGTGGGGGAGGCAGGGGTGGTTAAGGCGGAACACGGGTGTGAGTGAGTGAAAGAGAGGGGGTGTGGAAGGACGCAGTTGCGCTCTTATCGTGTCTGGCTGGACGCATATGAGATGAGGCGAGGCGAGGCATGTCAAGTGAATGTGAGTGCCTCGCGTGCAGCATGGCAGGCAGTGATTCAGGTAATGGAAGGTGCAAGCTGCAAGGGAAGGGCTGGGGTGCAGGGGAGCTGGGGTGCAAGGGAGCTGGGGTGCAAGGGAGCTAGGGTGCAAGGGAGCTGGGGTGCAAGGGAGCTGGGGTGCAAGGGAGCTGGGGTGCAAGGGAGCTGGGGTGCAAGGGAGCTGGGGTGCAAGGGAGCTGGGGTGCAAGGGAGCTGGGGTGCAAGGGAGCTGGGGTGCAAGGGAGCTGGGGTGCAAGGGAGCTGGGGTGCAAGGGAGCTGGGGTGCAAGGGAGCTGGGGTGCAAGGGAGCTGGGGTGCAAGGGAGCTGGGGTGCAAGGGAGCTGGGTGCAAGGCGACGATTAGAAGAACGGGGCATTGAAGCGAAAGGAGGCATAAGTCACAAAGCAAGCAGCGTTGCCTGTGGAGAAGGAGGGGGACGAGAGAAGGGGGTGACACAAGGGAGGGGAAGCAGGGGGAAGGAGGAAGGAGGGGGAACGGCACATAAAGAAGCGTTTTGCTGGTGCCGGGTTGGATGGCAACGTTAGTGAGACAAGGGAGGGGAAGAAGGGGCAAGGGAAAGGTGGGGCGCGTATACGACTTACTGGTGCAGCCAGGGCAAGGGGAGGGAGGGGATGCGTACCGGTCTTGCTGGTGCCGGGTTGGATGGCCACGTTGGTGACAACGAGGAGAGGCAGAGAGAACGGGAAGACACAAGGGAGGGGAAGAGAATGGGAGGAAGGAAGGAAAGGAGGGGGCACGGCGAGTACAGGTCTTGCTGGTGCCGGGTTGGATGGCCACGTTGGTGACGAGCGACGTGAGCTGCGACTCCAGAATCACCCTCTCGCCTGCCGAATCGATGAGGAGCAAGCGGTGCATGGCGCAAGGCATGGGAAACACGGGGAGGGTGGAGGGAAGGAGATGGCATTATGTGTTTTGAGTCGACTCAAAACACTCTTCGTTTGGGAGCGGATGGTGAAGGCATTGGGAAACATGGGGAGAGGGGAGGGAGGGAGATGTCATTATTGGCAATGAAGTGGACTGGTGGGGGACGACAGCTACTGCTTCTCCAGATTCATCCTTTCGCCTGCCAGGGGTGTTTCGGTGGGAAGCAAGCAGGGTAAGGGGGCAAGGCATGGGGCAATGGGAGTGATGGCAGCGATGGGGCAATGGGAGTGATGGCGGCGATGGGGCAATGGGAGTGATACCCCACTATCAATAGCAACCCTAATCGTAGTAGCTTGCAATCAGCACTGCACCTTCCCCAACCTCTGCACCACCTCACATCCCTCCTCACCACCACACGTTCCTCATTGTGTCGAGCCCACCCTCACTTCCTCACGTCCATCCCACCGCTGCTAGCTGCGCGCTCTTCTCTGCATGCCACGCGCCTCCCCCCCCCCCCCCGGCTTTTTGCTCACCCCCACCCCACCTTGCACTTGCCTCCTCCCGCCCACCTTTCCTTTCCCCCACCCACCTTCTCTCCCCGGCCCAACTTTGCTCTCACACCCACCTGTCTTCACCACCCACCTGTCCCCACCTGTCCTCTCTCCTCACCCACCCACCTTTGCTCTGCGCGCCGCTGCTCGATTTCGGCAGGACGATCCACGACGGGTCGAGCCGCTCAACGCCTTTAAGATCCACCACCAGATTCTCTATGAGCACACCCCCTACAGTGCCGAAGTCGCCGTCGCTTGCCCGCCCCGCACCCGCGCCGCTAAACGAAGCGTTTTTCGTCAGCGACGGCGCGGATCCCACTCTGCCGCCCATCGCGCTGCTGCTGCTGCTGCTGCTGCTGCTGATGCCGTCGCGCCTCGGCGCGCGCTGCGGGATCGCCCAGGACGGCAATGCGATGCCGGCGGAGGCGGCGGCGGCGGAGAGCGGCGACGACGACGGAGCGAAATTGTCGATGTCGATCGTCGCGATGACGGTTTCGCCCGGGCGATACGCGGCCCGGGCGAATGCCACGTGGACTACTGGCGGAGGCTGCGACGGTGGCTGCTGCTGCGCTGTCATGATGACGAGCCTGATCTGAGGTACGATTTACTTAGCGGGGAGTTGTCCCTAGTGCCCAAAATTAGGTATTCCTATGGGTGGGGATATGCTCGAGTGATCGAAGTTAAGAGTTATCTAGTGCCTACGGTTACAAGGGAAATAGGGCGTAGAATACGTGTGAAGACGCGTATACCTCTCGGAACTTCTAGCCAATCGATCATGGGCGCGATCGATGCGCCCAAGGTTCAGTGTTCTACCGACGTCGCCAAAGCAGGTATTCTGTTTTCACCAGCTATCGGCAGTTTACAGAAACGTCGTCGTCAATAGGGTGTCACCTCTGGCTCGCGCAGTCGATGTGTTTTTTTGCCACAGATCGATCGTGCAATTGTCACAATCAGGCAATTTTGTGTTATTTTCTGTGTTTTTAGCCCCATAATTCTGGACGTTTCACCTGTGGCCAATTGTGTCCAGGCGATCGCAAATTTGCAATTGGCCACACGGGTATTTCGAACGAACCTGGAAGGCTCGATGAGCCGCCGATCTCCCTGAACCTGCCTATTTACTAGAGGTAATGCGCCCTAAGAGCTCATAGCAGTGCGCTATACTCGCTTCGCTCGCCATTGCACGCGTATTGTAACAAATGCTTGGGCGAAAGTCTTCGTCACTCGCGAGTCGCGAGGCCCGGCGTTCCCCTCCCACTTTGAACCACAGGTCGCCCACAACAATCCCGTTTGACGACGCACCTCTGTTGTGAGTGTCGCGCCCTGATGGTGGCCAAAGAAAAGCAACCTTGGGAGTATCATCGCCAAAAGTCCCTGTCAGCGCAGTCATGGTTCTTCCCGTTAGTACTTCCCATTGTAACCATAGAATCAAGTCTAGCGTTTGCCATGACTGTGTCACGCAGCCCATCCAGCATCAGATTCGATTCTTGCCAACGAAATCGCAGATTAAGAGCGTCGAATCGCTTATACCGTATCCCGTGGCGCTCGTTTGGGCGATAGTCTCGACGCTCCTCCTCCTCTGCTCGGTCTCAATCATAGCCGTTCAGCTTCCCCAACGATGCGCCTCGTGCGACTGCGACTTGGCGCTAAGAACCACCGACGGAAGCAGCGGAGGCGGCGCGGCCGCAGCTCAGTCGTGCTCTGATTGGACATCAACCAGCAGAGCCACTCCGGTAGTGCAAAATGACGCAGATAGCAGCTCGTCGCCGCAAGACAGTCCCGAGGATGCGTGGGCGTTCACGAAGGTACTACTAAGTGAACCCGAAGCCTGACAACCTGGCAGATATTTGCGGGGAGGAGCATGATAGTTTAGAGCGCTTCTCCGCCCCGCGTTCCTCCCCGCGTTGCCTCTCTCTCTCGCACGCGAGTCAAGACCCTATCCTTTCCCAAATAGTTCCTCTCCCCCACTCCTATGAAGGTCTGTTATCATAGTTCATGCACAAACCTATTTTATCTGGACAGCAGCTACTAGTATGAAATTCGAGCGTACATGCATTCATCCGCACACAACGTTGCTCAAACTGAGCATCTTCGGAATAAGATGCTTCCTCTTCGTCCCTTCCCTCGCGCCTTGCGGACTCCCACACTACAGTGGACACCGCGCGTTTCCCCGTGTCTTGTAGCGGGGCTGCCTATTGAGGAGCTAGACGCGCACCTGAACTTCCGCCGCGGGTGGACCCTGGGCTTCGTGGACGACGTGGAGGACAAGACGCAGATCTTACCGTTCCTAAGAGCCAACATGGATCCCACCTTGCACACCAGGTGGGAAAATGCGGCGTAAATTCGGTTACCGCCAAAATCAGATGAAGCTGGAAGATTCCGAGGATCTACAACGACCAGTTATTCTTACCATATGCCCTCCTTTCTTTTGGTCCTCTAGTATTCCATCTCCGCATTTGAGGCAAGCAGGTCTTTTTGCGAATTCCGATGTAATCTAGGTTTTCTTGAGCAGAACCATTCCGAGCGGTCTACCTCGGCATATAAACATCGCAAGACCGGCGGACCTGCTTGCGCTCGCAAGTATTGGATCACCGAAATAAAAGCGTCATTGCTTCTTCCTCGCTCCTAAACTCTCCCAGTTCGCGGAACGTGGTGGGTGGTAAAAGATGTCTGAGTTAGGGAGTTAGGGAGTTTGGTTTGCAGCACTTGTGACGCCTGGTTCCTTTGAATGCACCCGTCACTTTCACAAAAATACACGCTAAATGTCTTTTCCTCGCCATGAATCAAAACCCCCTTTCCTCATTCTCTCCCTGAAATCCTGCGATTTCGCAGGAGGCGGAGGGTGTTTGTAGACCTGGGAGCCAATAAGTTTGAGACAAGTGTCGCCTGGTTCATTCGAATGTACCCCCTCGATTTCACCGAGATTCATGCGGTGGAAGTGGAGACTGATCTGTTTCAGAAGCCATCTACACCGCCGCTTGAGGTGCGTAAATGATTGCATTGCATTCTTACCCACATCTTGGAAAAATTAAAATGCGAACAGCACAGCAGCTGAGGGGGCTGGGAAGGAGAGGTTGCGGAGACAGTCCGAGGGATTTACTAAGTGGAAATTTGCATTGTTAGCACATTTCACACTAGCATGTCCACACTAGCATGTCCACACATGGCATGTCCACACTAGCATGTCCACACTAGCATGTCCACACTAGCATGTCCACACTAGCATGTCCACACTAGCATGTCCACACTAGCATGTCCACACTAGCATGTTCACACTAGCATGTTCACACTAGCATGTCCACACTAGCATGTCCACACTAGCATGTCCACACTAGCATGTCCACACTAGCATGTCCACACTAGCATGTCCACACTAGCATGTCCACACTAGCATGTCCACACTAGCATGTCCACACTAGCATGTCCACACTAGCATGTCCACACTAGCATGTCCACACTAGCATGTCCACACTAGCATGTCCACACTAGCATGTCCACACTAGCATGTCCACACTAGCATGTCCACACTAGCATGTCCACACTAGCATGTCCACACTAGCATGTCCACACTAGCGCACATCACTATTCCTAGTGCATGCACTTACGGTTGTCCAGGCATACACGCTTGGCATGGATGGGCCATACAACCTGGCATGCGTTCTAAACTAGAAGTGGGGGGAGGTGGTTTGGAGAAGAGTTTGGTGGGGGAAAGAAGAAATGTGTGTCAATCACGTCTCCTCCATCCCATCGTCTCTTCCTTACAGTCTGCGCCTGTTTCCCCCCTTCCCATTCTCCCCCTGATTTTCCCCACCTGCCATCGTAAGTTATTTTCTTTCTCCCACATGCTTCTTTATTAAAATAGAATATAAAAATTCAGGACTTCGCCGCGGTGACGCCATAACACCAGGATCATTCGTTCATGCCACACGTACCCTTCCCAGCCACTTGTTGCCATGTCTGTACCGCACTTGACCGTTTCAGGTACTGGCCTATGAGATCAACTCGCAATCGCGCCTGCGTCCGTTTCGCAGGGGCCCTGCAGGCTTCCCTACATGGCTGATGGACCGCGTCCACCCCCACGACTTCTTCATCTCTTCCCAGGACAACCAAGACAACCCAGAAGAGGTAACAGCCGCAAGAGCTTAACATTGTTTGTACCTACAAGAGCAAAAAGGTAATAACCTGAATTGACAATGTGACTGCAAAAAGGTAATAACCTGTGAGCATCAGGTAAAGGCACCCCAGTTGAGCCTCGGAAGAGCCTTCCTCTGGTGTGCCATGGGTGCCATGGGTGCCATGGGTGCCATGGGTGCCATGGGCGCCGTGGGTGCCATGGGTGCCATGGGCGCCATGGGTGCCATGGGTGCCATGGGTGCCATGGGTGCCATGGGTGCCATGGGTGCCATAGGTGTGACATGACATGCTATAGGTACAGCTTGCCTTGCCTACCCTCGCTCCCTGTTCATCTCCCTCCCCCCCCCACCTCCGCCCGCCTGCGTCCCTAAAGGGGAGTAGATATATCTTAAAGCTAGATGATTTGCTTACCCCTTTCCTTGCTTCCTCGCTTCCCCCATTCCCCCCTACTCCTGTTCCATCTTTCTCCCTTCCCTTCCCCTCTGCCTTTCCTCCTTACACCCATTCCTCACCGCTCCCTTTCCTCCTCCCCCTTCCCAACCCCCTGTTTCCTCCCTCCTCCCTTTTCTCTCCCCTTCCTAACGCCTAGTTTCCGTCCCCTTTTCCTAACTACTTGCTTCCCTCTCCTCCTCCTAACTCCTCCTTTTGCTCCCCCTCCCACTTTCTAACTCATTCCTTTCCTCTCCACTCTCACTTGCTAACTCCTTCATTTTCTCCCCTCTCCCACTTCTTTACTCTCTCCTTTCCTCCCCCCTCCAACCAACTTCCTAGCTCTTTCCTTTCCTCCCCCTTCCCGCTTCCTAACTCTCTCCTTTTCTCTGCCCTCTCTTTTCCTAACTCTTTCCCTTTCTTCCCCCTCCCACATCCTAACTCTCTCCTTTTTCCCCCCTCTCACTTCCTGACTCTTTCCTTTCCTCCCCCCTCCCTCCTCCCACCTCCTAACTCTTCTCTTCCTCCCCCTTCCCACTCCGTAACTTTTTCCTTTCCTCCTCCCTCCCACTGCCTACCTCTTTCCTTTTCTTCCCCCTTTCACTTCCTAACTCTCCTTTTTTCCCCTCCCACTTCCCAACTCATTCCTTTCCTCCCACTCTTCCTAACTCCTTCATTTTCTCCCCCCTCCCACCTTCTAACTCTTCTCTTCCTCCCCCTCCTACTTCCTTACTCTTTCTTGTTACACCCCCACCCACTTCCAACTCTTTTCTTTCCTTCCCCCGTCCCACTTCCTAACTCTTTCCTTTTCTCACCCCTCCCTGACACCTCCCTCTTCTCCCTCCTCTTTCCCCCTCCCTTTCCTCCCCCAATTCTCCCCTCTTTCTCTTCATCTTCCCTCCCTTCCCCCTCCCCCTTTCCTTTCCTCCCCCCTTTTTTTCTTTTTCCCCCTCCTTTCGCCCCCCCCACCCTTTTGTTACCCCATCACCCTCCCTCTATCGTTCCTCACTCCTTTCCCTTCCTTTCCTCTCCTTCATTGCCCCTTGTTGGCTTGCCATCCCTCCTCTCGTTTCCTCTTACACTCGAGGGCACGTGACCAGGCGGGCATTGCAGCCAAGGGAGGAGCACATGCGCTCCAGTAGTGGTGACCAAAGCTAGTGTTGCTGTCCTCCCTCTCTGCCTCCTCCCTCTCTCCCTCCTCCCTCTCTGTATCCTGGTTATCTTCCTCCTCCCTCTCCTCCTCCTCCCTTTCTTCCTCCTCCCTCTCTCTCTCTCCTCCCTCTCTCCCTCCTCCCTCTCTCCCTCCTCCCTCTCTCCGTCCTCCGAGAGCGCACTGAGCGTGAGTAACTGGGACAAACAGAGTTAGTGGCGGATGGGACCCACTCCTGTCAACCATGGCTCTCCCTTTTATTTCCTCCTAGTTCTTTCCTTCCCTTCCTCTGCGCTTCCCTTTTCCCATCTTCCTCGACCTCCCCCCTCCCCCATCCCCCCTTCTCTCTGTCCCTCAGATCACAGTGAACATGACCCGTTGGCTGCTGGACTCAATGGTTGGTGAATACAGATACCAATGCTTTCTCATTACCCATCCTTCTACTCCTCCCCCCTCAACCCGTCTCGCCCCCCAACCCCTCCTCAGACCATGGTCAACGTGACGCGGTGGCTGCTGGATGATCTAAAGTTGACGGAAGAGGACACGGTGATCATAAAGATGGACATAGAGGGGGCGGAGTGGGCGGTGCTGCACGAGTGGCTGGACATCCCGCGCATGCCCGCCATCGTGGACGAGCTGTTTGTGGAGGTGCACTACCACCACCCCTCCGTGGAGGGTTTCACGTGGACGGATAGGTTCAACCACACGCGTGACGACACCACACAACTGCTCACTGACCTGAGGAGAGCCGGGTTCTACGTTCACCCGTGGCCGTAGATGAGGTTTTTATTGCCCAATCTTGGCCGTGGATGGGCGCTCTTGTAGTGAATGGAGCAGTAGTGGATAGGGGGAGTGGAGGTGGTGTAGTGGAGGTACAGTGGATAGGGGTGAATGGTGGATTAGTTGGGCACTGCAGGATGAGGCAGTTCTATCTAGCCTTGGGTGTGATTTGTATAAATGCATGGGCATATGGTTTTTGGAGGCGCAGCATATACAATTTATCTGGACCTTCCTACCCACCATAAATGTTCTGTTCATTTCAGGGTACCCTTAATCCCCCATATATAGGACCCCCCCCCCAGTTGTAGACCCCCGGGTCTATAATACGGCACCGGGTACTCTATTCGTGTACATTTGAGTTATACCCCCCCAAATGGCCCCTAACTTATGAGACCCCCCCCACATCCTAGAGAAGTGCGGATTTTACAAAGATGCAATTGAAAATGGTCAAATTCAGTATTGATTAACAAAAATCGCACCCATGAACACACATGCACACCCACATTACGACCCTAATCCTGTCCCGCAACCCAAACGGTGCGCCGCGCTGTTGTGTGGACACCAAGTGGTGTTGGTGGCCAATGGGAGGAGGCTCCCAGATAGGGTTCGTGATGACGTGGGTTCGGCCCGTGTGGAGACCAATTCAAGTATATTTGGCAGGAGCTAAAAACGGAGCACTTCCAAATCACTACTTTGAGCTCCAAAACTACATTCTTATAAATGTCAATATGAACAGACCCGGGTCTTCTAAAAAATACACCATGTAATTATACCCCCCAGCCTATTTAGGGGTGATTATCATAAGACCCTAGGGTCTTATATACGGGGGATTACGGGTAGATTATTGTTCCTACCATGTAGATGCAACACTTCACAAATACGGTAATTGAATCCAGCTGGTTCATGAAGTGCTAGAGATCCTAGAGATTGTCTCGTGAGCGAAAGAAACAAGCATGGAGAAAGCAAACATTCCCCAAGAATTCAACCTCACACTCCCCTCACAACCACTCCTGCACGAAGCAACTCCCGGCGAGCCCTTTCAGAGACCTTACTCGCCTCCACCTTCAAATACCGCAGCCTCGGCACGTTCCCCAGCAGCCCGCCAATGCCGTTTGCAGTGACACCACCGCACCCCACCACAGTCAACCGAGTCAGCACCTCCAGTTTACTCCCAGCTATCACCATGTCTGAGATCGCATCACTGTGTTCCACCCGCAGTTCCTCCAGTATGCCACATGCACGCAGCAGACTCACCAGCTGACCCTCCCCCACCCCACAGCAGTTCACGAGAGCCAAGCTCTTGAGCCTTCCAAGCACAGCGGCTCGTGTGAGGGATTCAAAGGGCTGTGGCTCGCTGCTCAGGCTTGAGACAGGACTTGGGGAGGAAGACGATGAAGGGAGGGGCGGTGTGGCTGGCGACGGGTACATGAGGGGTGAGGCAGAGGGGAGGGGGGAGGGCAGCCAGGAAGGGTTGCTAGTGGAGGCGAACTGAATGCTGTCGAGGGTGAGGGCCTCCAGTGGAGGGCACAACACTTCCACAGGCGTCACGAGTGAGTGTATAGTTAGGGGTGTGCTCTTTTCGGGTGGTGTGCTCTTGTGGGGGGGCGAGTGAGTTGAGTCTCTGCTCCCCAGCTGCTCGTCTCCTCCTGGACCTCCTCTCGCCTCTGCCCCTGGCAGCTGCTGTAACGCTCGTGCTCTTCTCGCATCCTCTCCCACTCTCCCTCTTGCATCTCCTTCTGCGCTTGTTGGCCCCTGTGATACTGCCTCTTCTGCTCTTACCCCTTCTGCTTCCACCGCTTCCGCGCCTTCCAGCGGTGCTGCAACTGTTGCTGCCTGCCCTGCTGCCACTGCCCCAAGCACTGCTGCCGGCCCAGGCCCTGCTGCCGGAGCCCCAGCTCCTGCTGTTGCGGTGGCCACTCCTGCTGCTGTTGCCCCAGGCAGTGGCGCAGCCCCAGGCAGTGGCGCAGCCCCAGGCAGTGGCGCAGCCCCAGGCAGTGGCGCAGCCCCAGGCAGTGGCGCAGCCCCAGGCACTGGCGCAGCCCCAGGCAGTGGCGCAGCCCCAGGCAGTGGCGCAGCCCCAGGCAGTGGCGCAGCCCCAGGCAGTGGCGTAGCTCCAGGCAGTTGCGCAGCTGCAGGCAGTGGCGCAGCTGCAGGCAGTGGCGCAGCTCCAGGCAGTGGCGCAGCCCCAGGCAGTGTTGGCGGGGCGCCAGGGGGAGCCCCACGAGCGACAGCCTCCATGCGCGTCACCAGCTGCTGTGTGAGCACATGCAGCAGCGCCCGCGCCTCTCTTCGCGACACCGCCACAAACGCCGGCCACCCACCCGTCTCCTCCCCCAGCAGCGTTTCACTCACCTCCGCCAGGTCAGCCGGGAGGTGGCTCTCTGGGCTGAACCCCACCAGCTCCTCCACCTCCCTCCCTCCTCCCCTTTGCCCCTCCACTTCCAGTTCTCCATCCAGAGTGGCAGTGAAGAGCCCTGCAGCCTGGGCAGCGGTGCAGGCGTCCATCAGTGCCGCCTCGCGTGCAATCCGGGCATTCACCTCGTTCACTGACAACCGCACGCACAGGCAGAGAGAAATCGCCGCCCTCACCTGAATGACGGCATTCCTGATGCTCGAAAGGGCGAACTCGCCTCGCATGTGGCGAGCGCGCACGACTTGCGAGATGACTTTCTGGAGCCTCCAGTCACATGTGTCCATGAGGCCCCTCCAGTGGTCGAATGCGGCCACCATGTCAGCGCGTGCTGCTGCTGCTTCTGCACGGAGATCAAGGTACCGAGGGCCCCTATGGCCAACCATTCCCGTTTCTGCTCCTACCAGCGTGGCAGCTGCTGGGGGGCCTGCTGCGTCTTGGGCTGTCATTGCTTCGTCATCATCGTCTGCTGCTGCTGCTGCTGCCGCTGCTGCTGCTGCTGCTCCTCCTCCCTCACCGTTACCCGCAAACATCTCCCCTTCGCGTCTTTCCACTCCATCGCCCCCTCCCACCATTACTCCGCCGCCTCCCCTCTCTTCAACGCGCACCAGCATTGCCACAAGGCACTCCAACGACGGCTTCTGAGGCGACTCAGAGGGCATAACACTCTCCCTCGCCTCCCCCTTCCCTTTCAGCGTGACACGCTTCAGACTGCTGCAGCGTGCAAGCATGCCCGGGCGGTACGAGGGCAGCCCGGAGAGAGTAAGGGTGTGGAGGCGGGAGGAGGACGAGCGGAGCAGGGTAACAAGGCCTTGGGCAGCGAACAGAGGGTAGGAGGTGGAATGGAGGGAGAGGGAGGAGAGAGCTGGGTTGGCTTGAGCGAGGGCGGCGAGGGAGTGGCTGGAGACCAAGGGGCAGTTGAGGATGGCGAGGTGGGTGAGCGTGTGGAGGGAGCGAGAGAGTGCGTGCAGCTCACAGGGATCGATGCTGCAGGAGTGGAAGGAGAGAGAAGCGAGGCAAGGGAAGGAGGCGAGGGGTGTGAGTGCCGCTTCGAGGCGAGCAGAGTGGATGGTGAGGGAGGCGAGGGAGAGGCGCAGAGGGGAGGAGGGGGACGCGAGGGAGTAGAGGGCGTAGGCGTTGGGGCACCAGAGAGTGAGGGAGGTGAGGGAGGAGCAGCGGGCGATGAAGCGGTAGTGCGAGGGCTCGTAGAGGAGCGTGAGTGAGCGAAGAGCGGGGAAGGCGTCTACTGGGGGAGGCGGAGGGTCGTTGAAGTCGGAGTGGCGCTCGAGTGGCGAGTCGAGCTCCAGTGACGTCACCAGGCTGACGGGAGGGAGAGGAGGGGAAGGAAAGGTGGAGGGGGAGGGGGAAATGGGGTGAGGGTGGTGGATGTGAAGAGCGGAAATGAAGGAAACATGAAGGATGCAGAAGCAGGGTGAGGAAGCGAGGGTGTAACGCCGGTGGGCTTTGTTAAGGGCATTCCGCTGCGCCTAAATAACACCCTCGATTTGACCCAATGGGTAAAGAGGCGTTACAGAGGGTAAGGCGGGGGGGAGGGTAAGGCGGGGGAGAGGGTAAGGCGGGGGAGAGGGTAAGGCGGGGGAGAGGGCAAGGCGGGGGAGAGGGTAAGGCGGGGGAGAGGGCAAGGCGGGGGAGAGGGTAAGGCGGGGGAGAGGGTAAGGCGGGGGAGAGGGTAAGGCGGGGGAGAGGGCAAGGCGGGGGAGAGGGTAAGGCGGGGGAGAGGGTAAGGCGGGGGAGAGGGTAAGGCGGGGGAGAGGGTAAGGCGGGGGAGAGGGTAAGGCGGGGGAGAGGGTAAGGCGGGGGAGAGGGTAAGGCGGGGGAGAGGGTAAGGCGGGGGAGAGGGTAAGGCGGGGGAGAGGGGGGGAGAGGGTAAGGCGGGGGAGAGGGTAAGGCGGGGGAGAGGGTAAGGCGGGGGAGAGGGTAAGGAGACGTGGAATGGGCGAGGTATGGAAAGCGAGGGGTGAGGAAGGGGTGAAGGGCGTAGGAGAAAGAGCTACAAGGGAGAGAGCGGGATGACGCGTGAGCTGCGAAGCAGCGAAGAGACGAAATAGAGTGGTAAGGTTACAAGAGCGGGAAAGCACTTTGTTCGGCCTGGGCGTGAACCGTGACACGGACGTTCAAAAGAATAACGAGTCGCGCGGCGGTTCTACGACGGTGACGGAGAGAGAAGCAAGGCAAATGACGAGACTCAAAGGGACGAGGAAACGGTTCGAGGAGAGAATTTACCTAAAAAGGGTGCAGGTGGTAGAGAATGAAGGAGAAGGTGAGAGCAAGTACAAGGGACACCGTTGCGGCAAGACAACCAAACCGCGGTGCACTCACGGGCATTGCCGCGCGAGCTTCCTCCAAGACGCGGCGTTGGACTGAAATCGGTCGCGCACCGACACGAGCTTCAAACTTTCCAGTTTCGGGCAGCCCGCGCCGATTCCCCCCAGCAGCTGGTCGATGGTGGTGCAGCTAACCTCCACCGTCAGGTCAGTTACATGGGTAAATACCCCCGAATAAATGTCGAAGTTCTTCATCCATTCCCGGGCAGTGACGCCCTGCTTTTTCCTGAAGAAGTGGAGGCGGAGCGCGTGGGGCGTGCGGCGGGAGAGGCGGCGGAGGTGAGAGCAGCAGAGAACAAGGCTGCAACGATCGCGCGGGTGGTCGACGCGCGCGAGAATGGGCTGGAGAAGCTCGTCGGGGAGCGACAGCAGGCGAGAGCTCTCGCGTCCGCGAGCACTCTTCATCGTCGCTAGTCGACGGTTTCCTTAGCGCGCCAGAATAGGTCTGCTGAAACTGGAAGAAATGGGGAATTGACAGCCGCTGTTACAATCATCATGACGTGTTGCTGGCGTTTTGTTGGGTGGCTTGCTTCCTGATGCGAACACGTTTGTGAGCGAAAGGTTTCGACAAAATGAGGGAAGGGTTTTCGCGCGTTTGTGGCCCACTTCCACTTGCGCGTCTCGGAATTTGTCCTCGCAATGTGGCGAGCGAAATGGCGACATGAAGCTATGGGGAAACCACAATCTGTGTCACAGCTAGCACAAACGAGTTTGGTGTGCCAATGCTTTTGTCATCATCGCACGGCACACATGGGACGTGCTGGATGTGCGGTGTTGGAGGATGTAGGGCGTGGAACATTTGGGCTTTTTATCCCAAAGAACGTACGGTTCGGAAAATTACCGCTCTGAAACCTATTGAAACCTACTTGAACAAAGCGTTTGACAAATGGACCATTTTCAACCGTTCAGGCGGTACGGTTCGTTTGGAAATTTTCCAAAATGTTCCACCCTAAGGACGCGGCACCTCTAGCAATTTTGCACGATCGATCGCAGGATCGCTGATTCCACTGCACTGAATTGTTTTGAAAGCATTTAAATCTTTCTAAACCGTTTTGAACTCCTCAAATTTTCGATCCTGCGCAGGATCGATCGCAGGATCGGTGCTAGAGGTGCCGCGTCCTAAGGAATTTTTCGCATTCCTTACCACGTTCTTCAACATCTCGTAGAGCAGCAGCCATCGTTGGCCCGTTACTCCTAACGGGGCCTCGCCAACTTCGCGCGCACTGTTTCACCAAACCATGCACCGCTGGCCTGGCCGAGTCGGCCTACGCTTCGGGACTAGCCCGAACCTAGATGTCAGCCTAGCACTTGTGTAAGGAAATTTCATTTTTCTTACGTCGCATCCCTGCTTGCCGCATACACGACTGTTCCCGCCAAAGCACACCGTTACAACTCACGACATACGCCTTGTCCACAGTCCCGCCACTACACTCGTCGCAACCCAACCTTACGGCTCGGCTGGTAACCCGCGCTCCGAGTCTCCGCTTCGGCACCGCCCAACCTCAGTACCGACCTCAGTCACAGGTCCGTCGCGCACCCCCCCACACTTCGTTACCATTACCACTGTGGCTTCGCTATATAGCTCTCGCTAATGCCTTCGCTAAATGTGTTCTTTTGCTTCGATTGTGCAAATCTCGCTCGCCCGCTCAATTGCACTCGTAACACTTGGTATTCAGAGCCTACGATCTCTTCTCGGACCGCACCCACACCTTCGCTTCCCCACTATCTCAATTTTTGGAGGGGCAGACGTCTCTCAGCGCCCAAGCACCGCCGATCGAATTGCTCTTTCGTAAGCACGCACGGCGACTAAGGCTCTCGCTGAGCTCGCCCGACACCCCCGCCATGGCCGAATTCAATCTCGCGACTCTGACGCACAAACGCCTCGACGAACTCGTGTGCCAACTCGAGGAATCCGCGCTTGAAATCGTGACACTCACGGCGGAACGCGACTCCGCCGGACAGCAATCAACGACGAACGCACCAGCACCAGCACCGACACCTGCAAATGCACCTTGTGTTAACGGGAATGGAGTGTTGGCCCCGCCCTCGCTAAGGCGACGCCGACATCCTGGTCGGATGCACGGGAGAAGCAGCCGACCGTTCACAGTGAGGGAGCTCCTCGACGGGCTTTGTCGAGCTGCAGGGTATCACTGTGGTGTTGCCGTCGACCTGGGGTACTCGACGGCCTTCTTCTGCGGGGCAGATCGACGGGGTGGTCGCCGACCTGCGCAGGGCTGTCACAGGCGCTGGAGCCGTCGACCAGGGAGCTCGACAGCTACAGCCGATTGGGCTGGTTGACGGGTGGGCCTTGGACCAGGAGGAGCAGTTCGACAGGGAGGTCGACGGAGCAGTCCGTCGACCTGACATGTGAGCGGCGGTCGACGAGGGGAGCTCCGCGACACCAGGTGACAGTGCCGGTCGACAGAGGGGTCCGTCGACCAGGGCATTGCTCGACGGGAGCTGTGGTCGACCAGAGACACTTGGTGGCCGACCAGAGACACTTGGTGGTCGACCAAAGGCACGTGTTGGTCGACTAGAGGCACCTGGTGGTCGACCAGAGGCACCTGGTGGTGTCAGGTCGACCAGGTAACCTGCTCGACGAGTTCTGCGGAGGCACGCGAACGTCGTCGAGGTCGCGATGACGAAGGCGACTTCGGGCGGGTATCCCGAAGTTGATGTGGCTCGTCAGGCGCAGACAACAGCCGACGGATGCACAACGATGCAAGTCGGGCCAATCGTCTGCGCGCACCTGCAAGCGTGCGCACTGCTATCTTTTACGGGACAATGCTGGACAGCCGCTCTGCTGCAGCGTTGGCACGCCGTCGACTTGCTCTGCTGGCAGGTCGCCCTTCTGCAGTGCTGGCGCGGCTCCTCTACGCAACGCTGGCAGGCGGTCGACCAAGCTGTGCTGGCGGTCGACCAGGCTAGCTGCAGGGTTGCTAGGTGCCTGATGTAGTCATTTCTGTCATTGTCATTGCAATCATTATGGAATGCAATCTTTGCCTAGTGGAAACTCTTGCCGATTTCTCCCGTGAATGCGCAAGCACTAAGGAACTAAGCAAAGCTACGATCACTCATAGTAGTTCGTGCCAACCCCCGTAGTCTTGCTCTCTACCTTGTAGAGTGTCTCTCCGCATGGTGCGGTGAGCGTGGATCGAACACGCGACCTTCAGATAGGAGCCGACTTTTGCACCCACCAAGTCGTTCGTAGGCTGACAGCCGTTCTAGTCGCCATGGTCGACCCCGTAGTTGATGCGGGCGTAGTGGACACTTTGGAGGCACGATTGGCTGATGCGAGGAGACGCCACGCGGATGGCGAGTACGGGACGATCCCCTTGACGATGATCGAGTTGGGCATCCGGGCGCAGTGGGCAGCGGATCACCCTTCCTGTCCTGCTTCTCCTCAACCGGTACGACACGAAGGTGGCGTCGACGATGAGGTCGACGACGGTGCACGAGTCAGCGGCAATGATAGCACGAAGCAGAGAGGGGTGATCAAAGTCGACAGTGGCGTCGACAGGAGTCAGGCGCGAGTGCAGCGGTCGACGGCGGCTGCAGGCAGCTCGCGTGCCGACGTCGATGGTCGACGTCGTTCTCCTCTACGAAGCGGTGGAGGATTCTCGGCGACGACGCACATGACGGCAGGCGGGATCGCACCGGCGTATGGCTACTTCAAGTTTTCGCCGGACCGGATCAACGTCACACCTCTGCAAGGTCGACAGGACCTCATCACTTGGAGGGAGTCGATCGAACCTCAGCTGGAGGTCGCCGGGCTGAAAGGCTTCGCCGACGGCACCGTGCCGATTCCGCCCGTGGACGATGTCAAGCTACGCGGAAGTTTCGTGCTGCTCACCTACTCACCTTCATGGTCATCTCGAGGTGTTGCTCGCCGGCGGTGTAGCTAGCGCTCAGGAGCTGTCGAGAGCGACTGGATGCTGGTCACCAAGCATGGCACTTCATCCTGTCGACGTACCAGGTGAAGGACGACCTGTACATCGGACAGCTAGAGGAGCAAATGACACATATTTGGATAGGCGAGCAGGAGTCGGCGATGGACTACTGCAACCGTGCTCGACGGATCCTGGCTTTAGGATCGTCAACAGGAGCAGCGGGGGAAGTCGGGCGGAGGTGG